GGAAGAAGGTCAGAGCATACACGCCAGGGTGTTACATTCACGCCAGATAGCTATCTGTGTAGCTCACTTCATCAGATACCTGGGGGGGGGGGGGGGGGGGGGGGGGGGGGGGGGGGGGGGGGGGGGGGGGGGGGGGGTATAGGCATTTCAGGACAATCCCGCATCGGTGTGCAATGTCACAAAACAATAGTGCAACCCTGTCAGCACGAGTCTCACATGCAGGGCCCGACCCCAGGTACCTGCGCCGCACGTCAGCCGGCCGTGAATATCTCAATCTCGCACTGTGTGCAGGCCCAATAAACACATGCGCGCCGACATACAGGCTCCATCACCACCAGCCAAGCAGGCTGAACCGTGACGGTGAAGAAAGGGAAAGGAAGGAAAGGCCATAAAGAAGCCTAACACGCTATTGCCAGACCGCGTCACCAATTCAACAGGCAGAGCCACACCACGCGAAACGAAGCATCTCAACGATAGGGATGAGTGAAATATGATCCATACAATTCAACCGACAACCGGAACTCGTGGGACCGAAGCCCCGAGTCGAGTGCCGGGGCGGCCATAAATCTTCGGGTCCTAAATGGTGAAATAAACAGAGACGCCAGACAAATCCAATTACAGAGCTGTCACAGGACAGTCTTAAATATAACTAAAACAACCATATGACAGAAATCCTCACAACAAAATAAAGCTATAACCACTCCATATAGTAAAAATATGAAGTTTAAAATTAAATTGAAAGTAAAAGAAGTACTTTTCTACAGTGCCGAGTCATAAATGAATGAAGCACTAAAGTTGTCAGTGACACAGTAGCCGAAGTATAATTAAAGGGTCAAGAGATAAATCAGCGCGGGAAGGGAAATCATGAAATTCTCAGCAAGCTCAGAAAATTACAAATTCAAGCATCAAAACCATTAAATCCCCACTTCCAATATTCAAGATCATAATCCCATGAGCTGAACCTGAAACATCGAACGGTTGAGCCTAATTACATAACAACCTGGTTTACTAGACGCGTGATTGTCGTATAATATAATGCAGTATAAAGCAGGAAAAACCAAGTAAGCAATAATTCCCAGTCACGGTTATACATTATTAAGAGAGATAAGTGATTAAATTGCCCACAAGACAGTGAAGTATCGATCTACAGTAAACAGTGATGACACTTTCACCCAAACCGACAAGGCAGCCGAAAAGCATCCCTATCTCAGTGTAGAAAGGATTCGAAAACAATGAATGAACTAATGAATCATGATGGACTAAATTTGAGTTAAATTAAATAATCCTTACCTAAATCGAAATATAACGAAACAAAATAAGATCAAAATAGTTTAAGTCCAGAATCAGTTAGTCCGGGACCAAGATCGGAACTGAAGCCAGAATCGAAATGGAGACAACAACAAAGGGGGGGGGGGGGGGGGGGGGGAGGGAAAACCAATAGACTAAGGGCCGAAGCCGAGAATGGGATCAGAATCGAATTGACGTTAAATAAAAGAAAGTAGAAGTCAAATCACGCCGTGCCTGGGTCAAATCCTACTCGGGGTGAATTAAATGAGCATCCAATAGGATTAATTTAATCACGTTACCTTGCAGCGTGCCCATTGGATCATTCCATGGTACGTTATATCAAAATCAGGACAGCAGGGTGAGATCAAATGAGATTAAGTGGAATAATGAGGTAATCATTAAACTAAGTCATAATCCGATAAGAATTATATTCGGGGGTAAGTTAAATCGGAACAAATTACCCCTAGCGGAAATTAGATGAACTAACATGGACAGCCAAAGTAGGAAACATAAATGAATAAATACAGAATAGTATATGTAACTAACGGTATGAGAAGCTATGAAGGAGTGAATAATAACTGTAAACAAATAATTGACAGTATTAGGTGATGTGAGCTGAAGCCAATTAAGATTAGTCGACTGAAATACGAAATTCGATCCACACGACACGATCGGTGGTCAAGGGTCCCAGCCCAGGGTCCCCAAGCCAATTACCAGGGTGACCCAGAACCGAGCATTCTGAAGTGTCAAAGTGTATGAAAGGCAAGGGAAACACAGTCCAGGATCCATCATAAATCTTCAGGACGCAATCTGGCAGGAATAACAGCAACATATACGAATTGGTCGCCACGGCGGCATCCATACGCGCTCAGATATTAAACAAGGAAATAAATAAGCAATAAATCAAGGGTAAGTAAAGGATGAAAGTACTAATTAGTAATAAGTATGTAACTATAATAAATAATAGATAGATAAATAAGTATGAAATAAAGAAATGAGCAGTAAATGTATAGGGTTGCAAGAGAAGAGCCCCATTTAGTGCAGCCATAGATTACTTATACATATAAATTAAGAAAGGGAAAGAAAAGAGGAGACGGGAGGGGGGAACAGGTCGATACCGATTAAGCAGGCAATACAAAACCAAAACTAAATAATAACCTAAGTATCGCCCCGGGTAGAATATGAATTATTCACTCCATTGTTTCATGGATCAATCAGGCGGTTCAAGCAAAATGAACCGCTGCTAAACCGTTTAGGATCCTGTATTTAAGATATATTATGTTATTTAAGATATAAGAGCATTAATTATGCCTCATCAATCATTACTCATACCTCCCTCCACATCGCTGCACCCCACAACAAGGCAAATAAAATAGCGAAGAACTAGCTAGGTACCACAGTGCCCATATAAGCCTAGACAGTTACATTATTGAAGGAGGAACAGATGAATAGTTGCATCTTATTGAATAATTGCATCTTATTTCGAGAAAACCAAGAAAGTATGGCTTCAACACGCTTCTAGTCACTTAAGCATCAATTGTAACAATATCACGGTTAACTAACATGACGAGAAAGACTGATATGATAAAGAATCAATAATTAACAAGAGACATAAATTGTAATTATTATCCAACAATCAAAGGGAACAATCGCTTAAAGAAGGATTCCTTCATGCATAGATTATCAAGCAGTTCACAAATTCCTCCCCAAATTAAACCCCGAATTACTATCGGAATTAATATCAGAATATTCATTGTTATCCGAACAGTCATGAGCCATGCGCACGCAAAAGAGTTCCCCGGTCATAGGCGCAGACAAGGGGGGAAAGTTGCAACCCATTCAGCCAACCGGTCTCCACCCCCCCCCCCCCCCCCCCCCCGCCCGATGCACAGACCGCGCTGTCGCGGAGGAATGCGCCCACGCAGCCAATGAGCACACCATCACGTCCTCCAATCACCGGCCTGTCCAGTCAAAACCCGCCTTGTCACCGTGGCCACAGAGGAAGATGGGGGGGGGGGGGGGGGGGGGGGTAGCAGCAACCTCAGCGAGAGGAAGCCCATTCACTCGGTTCATTCGTACACTGTTCTTCATCGCAATCGAGTCAAGTCAAGCGCATCATCGAAGACCAAAAGACAGCAAGACAGCAAGACAGTGAAACAAGGACCAGGACACCAATACCAGAACATCAATACCCACCACAGCACGGTAAGCCAATCATAAGTCAATTATCATAACTATCAGACTATAATTGTCTAATTGCACAGTCAAAATAACCCTCCCCCCTCTAGGCAGCAATTAAATTGTTGCACAACCAACAACTTGTCCAGTTAATAATTCAGTTAACCACTCTACCCCATCTGCCCCTGATTACATCCAGCCCGATTAAAGATCCAACCGCTTAACAGAAAGAAGAAGGAGAGGGAAAGTACGTGAAGGGCCGCACGACCGACTACAGCAGCTAGGCCACAGCCGCCCGGACGAAGCAGTTAGAGGGGCAAGGACAACCAGAGCAGAACAGAGTAAGAAATTCTTCTAATTCCAACCGACCAGGTGTCTAGTGCAAGTGCAAGTAAAGTGCAAGTAAAGGTTTGAGTGGGGCGAAACGCATTTAATCCCTGCCGCGGGAAACGCCACAGCCGGATCCCCACGCTCAGCCCTTGCATCGGCTCAGAGTCAGGAAAGGATCCTAGTGAACCCGAATGTGAGTACCGTTAAGTCAGCTCCGAACTTCCAGCGCTCAATTCAATCAAATTAAATTGTTAGTCAAGATTCAATTCAAGTCGAAACAAGGTAAACACCGACAGTAAAGTACCTAAGATGACAGTAAAATAAGACTTAAATCAAATCCAGAATAGAATCAATGACCAAAGTTAATCAATCAAAGCACCGTGACAACGGCGCAATTGAATTGGATGGGCCAATTAACCGTCGAGTAGATTAATATTAATCAAGGTCCAGCCAAAAGCAAAGTCAGAATTTAAGGTTACAAACAGCAATTAAGGTGCCCCAGTCGAGACCATGCTTGGACAATAATCAAGACCATGTCGGAATTAAAGTAACAATCGGTACCAGTATCGAATAAGAAGGAAAATCAAGTTATTAATTTGCTAAAATAGAAAATAGAAAATAGAAAATAAAAAATAGAAAATTTCAGTAGACCATCGACGAAAAATCAGAATCAGCGGATCGTCACTGCGGGCAAACCGCTGTTGTCACCGAAAGAATGGGAATAATAATAATTCAGACGAACTACAATCAGTATTAATTAATTAATCGGGATCAAATTGAGCTACATCGATCCGAAATATAATTCGGATGCGAATGCAAATCAAAATGAATGTAGTTAAATGCACTCATACTAAGGTAACGAAAGCACAAATTTAAATATGTGAGTCTAATCATCGTTGTAGCAGCAAGATCCAGACCGAATCCGAGCAAGATCGGATAAGCCAACTCATCCTAGTATTTCGTCCGACTATAATTAATAGGCAACTTTAAATTTAGAATCAGTATGATTACAAGATCACGAGCAGGGTAAAGGCCAACTCAGAATTAAGCTAGCATAATCCTTGAAATCGAAATTAATAAAATAAGAATTGTGATTGTTGTATCGAAAGCATTCAAAGTCAGAAAATTAAATCGAGATGTAGAAGATCAAACATAACTTAACCATTGTAAGTTAAACTCGAAATTGCAATTGTAACAAAACAACCATGTCAGGATTGGATCTAAGTCAAGTTAGGAAAGTAAGAGCTGAGTCAAGGTCAGCCTCAGACCAAGCTAAGAATTTCAGTAAAACTAAACGAAATTTAACAGTTTCCAACACAAGCCCCTGAAATGCATCAATACCCATAAAACACCGCTACAATACAATATCCCTCAGTAATACAATATCCCTCAGTAATGATTAACTACTTCCAATTACAGCAATTAGACGCCGTTTTCAGTGGGTCCGTTGAGAGGGCTGTATCCGCTCGTGTAGAGAGAATACAAAGAGAAATGATGCGGCATGCGACTGCGGTGGTACACCTGAGCCAAGCAACGAACAGACGGCGCAACCAGTATCGGTGGACCCGCCCCGCACCACCACCGCCAAGACGACTACCATCCGCCTCCGCACCGTCAGCAGGCAGCGCACCGCCACCCCCGTTAATGGGGGTGAATGTCCAACCGCCGAACCAACCACAGAATCAAGCCGGAAATCCCCAGAGCAACCACCAAGTCCCTCCCGAACAACACTTCAACCAGACACCTTATCCTTACCCGCATCCTTACCCAAATCAGCATTTAATACATCCCTATCACCAATATTTACTGCAGCACCACATGTTCCCGTTCCAGTACACCCACCCATATACACCCTGATACCCGCCCACTCACCCACATTCATACCCATACCCGCCGTATCCCTTCTAATAAAATAGTGATAGTGATAGCATACATTAATAGTGTAAGTAAATAAAATAAGTTCGAAGTAAGCTTAAATTTAATCCAAACCTATATCCGAATTATATATCAGTTGTTCATTTAGCCTAGTTTAACGTAGCTTAATATCCAGTAGCCACATCAACGTGCCGTGCTCACACCTACTTCTAATATTAATTAAATCAATTGTTACTAGTTTAAGTTAAGTATAAGTTGCTCGATAAATAGGCATGAATTGCTAGTATCTAAGGAACAAATAAATATATAAAGCACCAAGCATAGTTTGAAATTGTATTGCATACCAATCCCAAACCCTCCCCACGAATGGATTGAAGCGACCACCGAAATGATCGACAGCGAGGTATAAATGAAATGCCATTCAAGTATCGTCCCAATCATATAAGCAGATACGAAGGAGCAGAGAAGGAGAGAGCATAAAGTCCGCATTTTATTAACATGTGCAATCATTACCATACGTCATTGTGCATCATCATAAGCATTCTAAATTACTACACCGGTAGAGTGTACAGTGTACAAAACATGATAAATGAATAAATAAAATGAGACAATCTCGATCGATCAAACCGGAACCCGTACAATCGATTGCACCGGATCCGGCGCGGCTGTATCGAGCTAATCGAAGTCGAGATCGAAATTTAACTCCAAAAAACAGCCGCTAGAGTGCACGGCCATCGCCGGGCGTACAGGAAAGTGCACCGCGTAACAAAGCCGCACGGCATACGTCAAATCCTAGTCGGTTAAACTTAACCTCAAAAGGCAACCATTCAGATGATTAAGACTGAACAGTCAAACATTTAACAATCAAACAGTTAACCCTACAACCAAAGATAGCTGAAGAATGGGTGAGTAGAAGATTATAAAGGCAATGAGAAGGGATAGTTAGAAATAGGTTAGTTAACAAAATAAGTGTAACATATATAACCGAATTCACACAATCGGCAAGTCATCCCAATCAATATATCAACAATCAATATCCAATAACAGGTTACACATAGCACAACAACATCCCAACCTTAAAGACAACAGCAGATCAGCTGTTGCAAACCCCATCAGGCGAGTGGTGATGCACTAATTTATAAACACATGTACATAATTCTTTACAGACATACATATGTCCGTACACCCGTAGAACCTATATGCAAACAATCAGCAGGCAAGGCGTTCAATTAAGTCAGCAACAAGAAGATACCGTTGCACAGTCATTGAGATAAGGTAACGGAGCACATAGTATGTAGAGTAATATTAATAATACAATACAAAGTATAGACAGCATCCAGACGCAGTTAGATAGCCAGTCAAAACCCAAAGAATTAACTATAATCACTCAAATTCTCAACAGCGAGTCAGAAGCTACGAGCAGATTAATATACCTAATGGAATAAATGAAATAAGATACAGAAGAAAAACCGATGCATCGACCAGCAGCCGTCCGGAGGCTCAGCACCAATAGAAAGAACAAGGGGAGGACGACGCAATCACAGGAACCACCCCCCATGGCTCCCTCAAAGGCACGAGATGGTGGGTAGTGTAAGTAAACCTATAAGAGGAAGGAGGACCTATAAGAGAAAGAGAAAAGGAGGAAGAGAAGGAAGAGAAGAGAAAAGAGAAGAGGGAAAGCTAACGTATGGGCCATCTCAAAACCATGTCAGGCCCTGTACAGGCAGAACAGTCCAAGGCAACTAACTCAACCCTCAATAATCCCTTCATAAAACTCAAGGAAGGCAAGAGGGAAGGACCAGGTAAGTAAGTTAAACCAATCCTATAAGGGAAAGAAAGACCTGTTAAAGAAACACAAATTTACATATAGGAAAGAACGCAGGGATGCATAGCATAGAACAAGTAAATCAATCAATCGCGGCACCAGGTCGGAAGTACAAACAACATCAACATCAACCGAAATCCGGTAGGCGAGATCCGAAACCCTGAAGGCAGAGATAAATACGCAATACATTAAGGACGGGTGATTAATCAAGCAAATGGGTACGAAACAGTCAATTACCATCGTTATTAATCGATCTTTCAATGCCCTACAGCAATCACGCTGAAGCAAAAGATGCCGATTCGAATTAGGATAACAGCCACCAAACTATAAATAGAGATTCCCTGAGCATTGCATCATATCAGGGAGATGTAAGGACCGGGACTGAGATGCAATCCTGTGAATGGGTATTACAACAACGAGTATAAATACGAAAGGTAGGCATATATAGATTATTAAATATAAATGCATACATGCATATATACATACACACATATACATACATATACCCATGTACATATAAGCGGGCTAGCCAAACTTATCAAAATTCCACTCTTCCTGCTCAGCGTCACCCGTCTAATTATGGAGAGATGAAGCCCAAGTCCTGCCTGTGGATGATCCGCACGTAGGCCCAGCTTAATCTCGGGTAAGAACCGCCCAATCCAAATTATGATAGTACTAAATGGAAATATACCAGCTCAGAACAAGCCGTCCATTATGAAGACGCCCGAACCTCCGTCGATGCTCAGCCAAATATGAGAAGTGAGGATGAAGCATGCTCCGCCCAATTACAACTTAACACGGGCATGCAATGACACATGCACGTGGCCAGCTCGGTTGGAGTTCTACAAATTAATGGTGGAAATTAACACTAGCCACCCGATTCAGAGATTCGTGTAATTGCAGAAACAGAATAGACAGAGTGAATAACAAAAGAGGGCTGTAGGTAAAGGGGGCTGTAGGTAAGAGGACTATATGGAATAAAGTAATATAAACGAGAGAATCGGACGAGGGTACAATGAAATTGAAATTAATGAGTTAACCCATTTTTAATCCATTTCAGATTTCTGAGTCGAATACAAGCAGAACGAATTATATGATCATTGCAGAGAGAGCCACTGAAATATAAGTCATCGCACCCATGAGAACAGGAGGGTCATCGGCAAGAGAGAAGAGTACAACGTCAATATAGAATGACTGTATGAAACCACAATAAAGCATAAAATGAGAAATGTAGAAGGTATAGAGCGTACTCCCTTCTACCATCAAGCCAGCAATCCCAATTCCTGTTCGTATAATGAATTACCCACAGGCTGGAAGATCTGCTGCCCATTAAACTCTGAACCAAGCCACCGAAGTCATACACTCGGCAATTGCACCATAATCTCTTCAGGGTATGCAGCAAAAATAAGAAGTAAAGTATAATTATAAATTAAGGTAGGCTAATAAGTTAAGCAACCATTGAAGGGAGGCGTGAGGATGAGAAATTAAAAATTAACCTGCATATGTAAAATTCACCACTCACTACTCCCCACCACTCGCGCCTCCTCCCTCCCCCTCCACCATTCGAGGCCAGCGCACCAACCAATCCCGTGCCGAGGAGTAGGATGAAGATGCAACGTTCGCTCATTCTGTTGAGCTAGACGGTTCACGACCCATCGAACTTCCGTCAGAGCACATCGATCAGCCTGATTGCTACAACTCACCTTAAATCTTATCAAGTAAGTACTCAAGCATACTTTAATCGTTAACCAATCGTAAGCACTGGGTCCCGTAACCATAATTTGCAAGGGAAACCATAAAACTGCATTCCTCATATATTACACCATTCACATCTTAGCAGAAAGCCTGTTCGCTCAGCCAGACCAATCCATGTTGAAATATAAACTCTTTAAGCTTGAAGTGCAAAATACTAATGTATTCATGCCACCAGGGAACACACGAAAGCCTATTGGGACGAGAGCCGAAGAAAACGCGAAAGGAAGACGCAGAATAAACATAGAAATTCCCACTCCAATCGGCAGGTAAGCCAGTGAGCTACTCAAATTACATAAAGTCGCAGTTAGCTAACCTAATCTGTGTCGCAAGCCGGCAGGGACGTAAAACACGATCTGAATCAGAACTAAACCCATATATCATTTGACAGGAATCAGCGATGTCCGCCTTCACCGTGCTGCAAGTAAACCTAAATCATTGCCGCGCAGCGCAGGACATCCTATGGCAGGCCGTGCATGATTATCGCGCCGACATTGTGGTGATTAGTGAACCATACCGTCCCCGACCAGAATGGCACACCGACCCCAGCGGGACCCTAAGCATGTGGTACGTGCAGCGGACCCCACCGTCCGCCGAACTGGGCATGGTGCGTAAAATACATACCTCCGACGGCTGCATTGGCCTAGCAACTCGCGATTTCGTTATATTAGGGTGCTATTTTTCCCCTTCCCTGACCATGGCCACATACGAAGGCCAATTAGATGATTTGGCAGCCGGGATCGCGGCGTCAGCAAAGCCCGTGATAATATCCGGGGACTTTAACGCTCGGTCAATACAATGGGGTTCGGATCGTACCGATGCGCGCGGTTATCGGTTACTACGTGTCTGTGAGCAAGCAAGTCTAATACCCGTAAATAGCAAGGGAGGCCCCTCATTCGTCCGAAACCATCAGCAATCACGAATAGATGCCATAGCATGTAGTCATGCATTAAGATCTCGTCTGAAAAATTCGTTTGTATCCAGAAAATACACCGGCTCCGATCATAATTACCTGGTACATCGTTTTGCCGCTACCAACACCTTCGAGTCCTCCTCAATGAATTCCACGTGGAATACATCATACGACCCCCCGATAAAGAAACCTGGGCTTCACTAATTAAAGACAACCTATCCCTATCGCCGGAGACAGATCAGTGGATTCGTGACCTACCCGTTTTTACGTTTGAGAATACCGCAAGCATAGATGCCGCTATAGCAGAGTTAGAATCCTGGTACGAATCGGCACGTATACCGAGGTCCCATAATTCCATCCGAAAACGAAAATACGTGACCTGGTGGAATAAAGAAATATCGAAGCTGAGATTAAATGCGGCGCGATCGCGTGCGAAATGGCGACGCGCAGCCCTTAGTATGTCAAAAAATAACAATAACAATAACAGAGGCA